TTTTTTTTTAATTTCTAGGCAATATTATTATTGCCATTATATTATCATTATCTAGGCATTATTCTTTTTTTAATGCATTATTTTATATGCTATTAATTAGATAACACTTTTTTTGGATCCTAATTATGTTAATTATTTCATATTTTTATTTTGTAGATTGTAGTTTTATATTTTGTTAGTAAAATTCATGGGCTTCTTTTAGATTTAGTCTCTAACAAGTATTCAAACTAGGTGCTTTATAAATCTGTGGTAAAACATCAAACTTACATAAAAAAAAAAGATTTGTAATGCAAAAAGTAAACAATTTAGATTTGTACACTGAATGCACGACTAAGATTTGACAATTAATTTAATTTTTTTTTCTATTGGTTATTCTCTGTAGGCATACAATTATATATTACTTTATCTCATAAAATACTCATTTTATGTTGATTATTGACCAGTATATTGAAGAGGTAAGAACCAGGAGCATGTATCTTTTCCTTGAACTATAGTTACCTATTAAAATAGAATAAAAAAATAATAAAAAATTATTATTATGTCATCCAAAAAATTTTGCATCCTACATCTTAGAAACTATATTATAATGAAAAAAATTATAAATTATATAACTGCTCTACATTTTACATTTATAACAAAAAAATGTTTACAAAAAGTTATGCTAATTGTTAAATCCTAGTACATTTTTTTTTTTTAATCCACTTCCCTAAAAATGTCAATAGTTATAAAATAAGAAGGGCTTTTTAATACAAAGCTTTAAGTACATTTTTTATTTTGCTTAAAATTATTATATTGTTTTTCCCTTGTTTTGAGTAATTATTTTTAAATTGACAAAATAAAATACAAAGAAATTTAACAATTACACAAAAATATATTTTTAACCATAGAAATATATTGCTATAAGACTTATGCAAAATTTATAAAAATGAACCATTTATATTAATATAAATAACTTATTGAAAATATTAATTTCATTTAACATTTTTAGTTATTATGATAATAGTAATACCATTATAATATTATAAAATGTATTACTATTATTAATTAACATTTAATCTTATATATTCCCTCATATTTATAAAGCATATATATTTTATTTAAGTGTAATATCATTAATTTTATCTTGTAAATAGATAAATTAATAAATTTAAAATATAAGGATGGAAGTTAGTTCCTTTTCACTTTTATATTGAAAACATAATTTCAATTAAGGATATATAAAAATGAAATATTTTGAAGAAAAAAAATGTATATATTTTTTTACATTATTTAATTTAGTTTAATTATTATTAAATTGTTCAATGATTTTCGATTTATTAAAACCCGTATCTTATATACAGAATGATCGGTTTATGATAAATCATTCGATCACTTGCAAGATAAATACAATACTTGAAAAACAATTTTAAATTTATTTTAGTTACCTACAATTCTAGATTTATAAGCTAATAATTACTTTTAGAATCATTCCTTATAACTTATAGGGGTTTTAAGTTAATTCTTTTTAAATGGTAACCTTAATATTTAATCAATTTTTAAAATAGATAATTATCTAATTAAGAAAATGACTGGTTGATAACAACTTTTTGACCAGTATTTCAGAAGTTATTCACAATTTAATGTAATGATTGAAGGTAAGAAGTGGAATATTCTATTTTTATCACTAGACATTTCCTAGCCATACTATTTGCCCCACTTAGATATAAAAATGAGAATAATATCCAAAGTACTGGTCCAACATTTGTTATTGACCAGTTATTTTCTTAATTAGATAATTTTCCATTTATAAGTTAATTTAATGTGTATATTACCATTTAAAAAATAAATTTAAAACTCCTGTAGGTTATATGGCATGATCCTAAAAAATAATAAATAGCTAATAAATCAAGAATAATATATAAAAAACTAATATTAGTTTTCTTAAATGAAAATTTTAGTAACCAATATTAAAATAATTCTTTTGTTGATTTTACTTAAATTAATTTTTATATTATTATTGATTACTTCCATCCTTGAATATTCTTTATTTGGAATCATTAATATTTACGTCAAGTTATTTTTATGAAAATGCATACATGATGCCTCTTGCAATTAACTACTTCACGGTGGTGTTTATGTCGTTTTGCTTGTTTTTTGTTCTTTTTCAAGACGAATACAACTTAAACCCTGGCTTGGAATGGGAAGACGAATTTACAGGTAGGTACACTATGCTAATGCTCATAAATTTCTTATAGTAAAATTATGTTACTTTTAAAAGGTATTATTCAATTTTAATGAACACATTTTATTTTTCTTGATGATTATAAAAATATATACCTTCTATTTTTACTATTTGAATTTGAAGTTTGTCGATGGAGGTTGCGTTAATTTTTTACTTAGGTTTTTTCAAATTTCAAGTATTAATACAAAAAAAAAAATTTTAATGTCTTTTTTTATAAATAAAGATCTAGAATTTTGATTTTTATAGTTTATTTAACTATAAAGGTATGTTGTGTATAGTTTTATTTGTACATATAATATATATATATATATATAAATGATTGTATAACAAAAAAAGTTATTATGTATTTATGCATTAACAATCCTGTAGTCAATTTCTAGATCTTATTAATTAGGTTAAAAAGATTTTTCATTCAAAGGTTTTTATTAAAAAATATATTTTCATAACATTATGTAAGGAATTATCTTGTTTGTTTTATTTTAATTTTGTTACTTAAAATTTTATCTCCCATCCTAATCATTAGTAATTACTGTAATTAACCCTATTAAATTTCTAAAAAAAAAATCGTACCTTATGCATATATAATTAGCAATTCCTGAGTAATTAACAGACAGTTCTTACATATGATGATGTTACTGGTCAAGCGGAAGACGAAGACATAAGTTTAACCAATATGTCAACTTTTCAAAGTAAATTACCACCTGGTATATTATCACATGGGCTACCACAAGTTAAAGAAGTTGCACCTGCCATTACATCTTTAGAAAGAGAACCAATTATTAAAGAAGAAACTAAAAAATGTAAATTTATTTTGTTATATTTCTAGAATCCAAAAATGTATTGCACTTTAAAAAAATGTTCTATGTACTTTCTTTTAATAGTAAGAGAATTGAGTGATGCAGAAAAGATGATGATAATCCATTCTGATGATTTTCAACAATTTATGGATCGTGCTGGAAGAGTTATGGAACGAGCATTATCAGAGAATGTTGATATATATACAGATTACACTGGAGCTTTAGATAATAATGACATCAAGTGATTTTTTGATTTTTTTTTATATTAATATTAAATCAATCGGCGCCATGATAATATTATAAACAATCTTTTAAAAAATATTTTTAAAATTAAGGGTGAATCGAACTTAAACTCAAATTCAAATTTATCATCTAAAAATTATTTCTGTTACGGAAATTTTAATTTTTTATTTTACCATTTTTATATGGTAAAATATTTTTATCATAAAGTATTTTAAATATATTTTTACTTTTAAAATTTATTTTTAGTGAAGATAAGAGTAGCACTAGATTATCTTTGACTCGTGTATTTTATGATGAACATTGGTCTAAAAATCGTCTTGTAACATCATTAGACTGGTCTCAACAGTTTCCTGAGCTAACTGTTGCATCTTACAACATTTCAGAAGCACCGCACGAACCTGATGGTGTAGTTTTAGTTTGGAATACCAAGTTTAAAAAAAATTCACCAGAATATGTATTTCATTGTCAATCCAGAGTACTATCTGCTACGTTTGCTAGGTATAATTTTTTTTATTGTTATTTTTAGGAAAAAAGTAGACTTAATATAAGTTTTATTGAATAGTTTCTTTTAAATTTTACTCTTTAATTTACATTTCACATTTATTAGTATATATTAGTAATAAAATAATTTAAAATAATGATATCATTTACATTAAAACTATATCATTATTGTTTCAATAATAATTTAAAAATATATGATAGTTATGACTTATGTATTATTGGTTATTGTTTAGATTTCATCCAAATTTGATTTTGGGTAGTACCTATTCTGGACAAATTGTATTATGGGATAATCGTGCTCAAAAAAAAACTCCAATTCAAAGAACACCTTTATCCAATACTGCTCATACAGTAATTAAAAATTACCATTTCATTAATAAGTTAAACAATTGTATGATGATTATTATTATAAAATGTTTTTTAGCATCCTGTATACTGTATTCAAGTAGTAGGTACACAAAATGCTCATAATTTAATCAGCATATCAACTGATGGACGACTATGCTGTTGGAGTTTAGATATGTTAACACAACCTGTTGAAAGACTTGATTTAACTGCTAAACAATCAAAATCAGTATCTGTATCAGCTTTTGCATTTTTACATGATGATGTAAATAAATTTGTATTTGGCAGTCAAGAAGGCTCTGCTTATTCTGGTAATATAGTATATGTTATAATTCATTAAGGATAAAGGACAGTCATTTTTCAAGAAAAATATTGTTTTATTCAAAAAACTAATAATATGTAGCTAAATAATTTTTTTTTACCTCTTCAGAAATAAAAAAACTTATACTTTAATTTTCTTAAAGGGAAACTCTTATTTTTGGTTTAATTATATGTTAGACAAAATATTTTTTAAAAATTTTGTTCTTAATTTTTCTTTATCCGATAAACCATTTGTTTGTGCCGCAAACAAACGCGTAGATAGAGCGCGCTAACTTGGTTCCGTTAGTTCACCTTCCCTTCATCTCCCGGTTGTTTAGTGACGTCGGTCATTTATCACCGATAACTAAAAAATATGTATGTTTTTCTTTAGTATAGGTTAAGTTATATAAGTTTTTGTATCATTTTTCCCTTTTTTTGAGTAACAACAGTCAGTTGTTTTTATAGCTAGCCGCACTTTAGCATAAGTAATATTATATTATATTAGTAGTATATTTTGGTGATTAATTTTATTTGAAATGATTTAAGTCAGACTGATGTCATTTTATACTATGTAATTATAGTGATCCCCCTGTTGGTCGGGGTTAGAATAGACCATCGGTTGTTCCTGCCTGTCGTAAAAAGCGACTGAAAGGGACTTGTAGTAGGGCAGCAGCTACTACAATATTGGGTGTAGGTGCAGGTAACCTAGAATGGTAGAAACAGCTACACACCAAACAGCAGCCAGCAGATACGGGAACTGTATAACTGGTGGCTGCACTGCGATACGGAAGGCAAGGGGAGACCACCGTATAAATCATCCCAAGAAATAGCAATAACATGAAATCTTCTAAAGTGAAATATTCCGGAGGAAAATAGTCCCCCGATCGGATCTCCGGGTGGGGACTACTGGAGAAGAAGGAAATGTTAAGAATTGGAGAAGAATAGCTACTTGGAACGTTAGAACTATGTTGCAATGCGGAAAACTAGAAAACTTGAAAATAGAAATGGAAAGAATGAAGATTGATATCCTTGGCCTATCAGAAATGAGATGGTCAAGAGCTGGAGATCTATGGAGTGGGGAATATAGGTTGATACACACAGGAACAGCGGAAAATAACCCAGGAATTGGAGGGGTAGGCATAATAATGAGTAAGGCTATTGGGATAAAAGTTAAAGGATTTGTACAGTACAATGAAAGAATAATATTAGTCAAAATCGAAACGAAACCTAAGGATACAATCATAGTCCAAGTTTACATGCCTACTTCTAATAGCAGTGAGAAGGAAATGGAAGAAGTCTACGAAGGAATAGAAAAAGTCATTGAAAAAGTCAAAGGAGATGAAAATCTTATCATTATGGGTGATTGGAACGCTGTAGTAGGAAAAGAAAGCCTAGGGCACATAATAGGAAATTATGGTCTAGGAAANTGAGTACTTTTCGGTAAGCTTATAAATCAATTTTACCCATTATTATGAAGGACAAAAATAATTTAAAAATTTCAATAATGATTGTTGCCAATCAATATACAGCAGAAAACTAACCTGAATGATAAAATTGATTTACAAATCTTTGGTACAGACAACAACTAAAATGTCTTCAACTCCATGTTTTTGGTTAAATTATCTTATGAAAAAATCTATCAAATATATTATACAGGTGATTAATTAAAGATAAGAAATTCTTTGATATTTAATTCAAGAAATTATCTTAGAAAATATGTAATTTTCGTAAAAGAAATTATTGTTTAATTCTAAAAACTCTACAATAATATGTAGTTAAATATTTTTTTTCATCTCTTCAGAGATAAAAACCTAAAATTTCAAGTAACCACCCCTATGTA